AAAAAAAAAAGAGAGAAAAACGATTATTATCTATGAATTATTTACGCTGCAAAATAATCAGGGTAAGTTACGCAGTATAAACGTAAAATCTCGATTTCTGATAATTGTTCTTGCAACAAGCAATAGATCGTCAAATACGGACAGATACTTGTACTTTCATTCGCTTCACTAATAGTATTTCATTTGCGCGAATTCCTCTTTCGTAGCGGAAAGAGACGAGCAATTATTTTGCGCGTTCGCGCATTAGGGTCTAGAGATATCTAATCTTGAACGATAAATTCGAGCAAATATGCTTCTTTTCCTTTTCGCGATATAACACCTTAACGGAATAAGAGGTGCTCCAATTTGTTATGTCATTGTTGTTAGGATTGAGGAATGTGCAAAGTAAATATTGGAAAGTTTATGGCTGAAAATACCTGAGACTATTTGAATATCGTCTTTGCGTAGTATTTATTATAACTCGAACTGTACGTTGTCTGTTTTATACTCGAATGAATCTATCGGTAACGTAGATCCCATGTGAGGTTTTTTACCCGTGAAAAAATTTTTGCTTCGTCGCACGCGCTTATATCGGCGCTTATTGAGGGGCGTAATAGGACAGCACAAAACTAGGCAAGTCCATATCGATTACCTGTGCATTTAATTCAAAACGAACGACAGATCTTTCGCATTTCCAGCGACCGGCAGAACGAAACATAACGAACAGGGGTACGTCAAGACGAAGATGGAGCAACAAAGTTCAGCATGACCCCTAAAATTACTATCGCTATTACTATTATTACTAGCTATATCGTTATAACCTAATGTTTACTTACAGCGAAAAAAAAAAAAAAAAAAAAACGTATATCGATATTATATAATATTTAGGAAAAGCAGGAGACTGAGAATGCGAGTGCATTGTGCATGTGAGCGAACAGAATCGAGAGAAAGTAACAGATCGAATTTGTATTTACGTACTTCATCGTATGCACAATCATATTTTTATCCGTGAAGAATGACACGCTGATAGCGAAGAAAAAAAGAACACGGAAAGAGACGTGTCTGATTACTATCGATCTATCGTGTGCATGTTTCGCGGTCATTTTTTTAAATTTCTGTGTTTCGGAGATTGCGATCCCGAGTAATCATTTCGACTCTTTCTTGAATAAAGCACGTAGGAAAGAATGCTCGGTCTAAAGAGGATTAACCGATTCCATCGCGAGAATTTGGAAACTTTATTATATTCGAAATTCGATATTTTCTGTCTAAATAAACATTTTTCTTAATAATCATATCTTTTCACATTACGTCTGTCTGCCACAACGAACATACATCCTTCCTTCTTTCTTCTTGCCGATCTTGCAATCTGTAGACAGTGTCGTAACATAGTACACAGGAAAACGAGCAACAGCATGCGGTTTATACTTTTATTCATAAAATAACTAAATTTTGATATGATACAATAGTTGTCCTCGCGTATGCACAATCATTTCACGTCATACGTAACTGTACATTGAAAAACGAAAACAAAAGGCATCCGATCGTACGGCGACGTTTCCGCAAAAAAAAAAAAAAAAAAAGAAAAAATAAAACGACTGATCAACTCGGTGCAGCATCTACTAACCATCCCAAGAAGAAGTGTGTGTACGCAATCCTAACGCGTGCATACCGATGCAGAAAAGACGTTGACAATAAAAGAGTACATCGATCTACGATAAAAATGGTAACCGTGAAGGGTTCATCAGATTTCGCGTATAAAGAGCAGAACTGGCCAAAGCAAGATTTAAAATACAAGCGGCAGGCAAGATGGTCTTTTTAGTTAGGAACTTGTTCGACCGCGTGACGTTAGTAATAGCTTTATCTTCCAGGCTATCTTAATTGCGACAGAATGGTAATGCGACAAGGCCGTCTAACAATCCTACGAATCTGCTTTTACCAGTTCCAGTATGCAAGATTGCACCGAGCACTATTTTTATCGCTGCACGGCAACAACATACGGCTTATTTATCGCAGGTCGACATACATTTTTACTGTTGAAGTTTTTCCACAACCTAGTAGACACTACGTACGTGTCGTACGTTCTCGTGATGCAACAGGTACTACGCTCGTAGCTCTTCTGTTTCTCTCCTCTTATCGAGCAGAGCGTTTTCTTTTTTTTTTTTTTTTTTTTTTTTTTTTGTTTGTTTCATTACACGACGCCGATCGGTTTCTCTCTCTCCCTTTCTCTGCTCACTACGCGCGGATCCCTTCGTGATGTCGCATGTGTGTCTTTGCTCGGTGAATATTTACAACACTATTTCGCTAACGCTTTCTTTTTTTTTTTTTTTCACATGGTCTCTACACGAAGCCTGATACGGCCCCCAATTATTATAATAGGAGAAATGTGAACAGAAATTGTTCCCTTCGAGCGTGACGAAAACGGAAAACCGAAAAGAAAAAAAACAAGAAAGAATGAAAGGCGACGTTTCTTTGATATGTTTTTTTTTTTTCTTTCTTTTTTTCAAGAGAGTTAGAGAATCTGAAGGAACTTGCTCTGCCTCGTTATGCTATACACACACTCACACTCACACATACACATACTGCACGCACACTCACGTGTATATAATATATATATAGATATAACGTGAACATATATATAAATATATACGACGTGAACCTATATATTTTCCCTTTTCACGCACAGGTCTCTCTTTCTCTTGTCAAGCTTTTATTGTCAACAGTTTGAGTCTCTCTAACTAGTAGAAAGGCATATATCGGTTTAAGCGACTTTTTTTTTTCTTTTTTCTTTTGAACAGCTGCTCGGTTTGATTTAACCGCGGCGATTGTCGCGTTGTACAGTTACTTTTCGCACATGTTTTTCGTGGCTTTTCTTTCCCCCCTTTTCTTAAACAACGTCCTGTTTAGGCCGTTTAGGCTCGATATATTTCGACGATTGAAGCGAACTGCGCACACGATTCTTTTTTTCATTCTCCCTCCGTTTATTTGCGCTGGCATATCTGCTGGTATTCTCAAGAAGGAACCAGGATCGCGACTTAAAAAAAAGACGGAAGTGTCGTGCACGCGTTTTAAATGAATCGTGCCTCGCAAAGAACAAAGAACAAAGAACAAAAAAAAAAAAGAAAACGCTTTTCCTTTCTTGCAATACCGCTACCAGAGACCAAGTTCTCTCAATCAAGGAATTTCTCTTCATGCGGTGCAATTCGTCCAAGACTGCACGCACGTCGATGTCGGATAATCTTCAAATACGATGAACCCGTTCGATCGAAAGAAAAAAAAAAAAAAGATGAAAGTTCTTTGAACAGACGCGCTTTATACGACGCCGAGCCATTTGATAATTTTCGTTCATTCTTTTTATCGGCGAAACGTTCGAACGAAAGCCCGGAAGTGGAAGAACTTTCCGGTGATATTACGAATCACTTGAATTTATTAATCGTATTTATCCAACGAGCAGAACGGTCCAAGGTATCATCGATTCGCACACCTCATGCGTTAATATTTATTCCTTTATGTACAAAGTCGAGAAAACGTAGCAATTTTGGTTATTATTACATAGAACATGAACCCGAAGGTCG